TTTTAGAAAACAAAAACTATTTGATAGAGAATTTCGACCACTTTCTTAACCTTTGATGTAAGTCCTCAAATGTTAAAAACTCTTTTACAGTATCGGAGATGTTGCATAAAAACCATTTCTATTTCAAGATTTTAGGGACCCTAATAAAATGTAAAAATTCAAAAAATGGTATTTAAATTTTTATTGATTTTAAGTGCAACTTTTATTTAAATTTATTTTTTATTTGAAGCAGTTGATATTTTAAAGAACCGTTATTTAGGTAAAAAAATAAAGCTACCAATGCATTTTTCGACGCTATTATACCAAAAATGAATTTCGGTTAATCTTTTACAAACTGAAAGCAAACTTAAATCCAATAAGCCAAATTTGGTACTAAAAATGCTAATATCCCAAAAATGATTACCATATTTGTTCAGGGAAAATTTCAGCACTGCAGTTTCCATTGTTTCTACAAAATATCACTCAATAACTAACTTTTAAAGTTGTATGGCAGTTACCACAAGGCTTAAAACAATTTAATCGACTTTTGCCAAACATAACAAGCCTAATAATAATATCTGCTTGTATGAAATTTCAATACTATAGCTTCTATAATTCCAGAGATACAGTCAAATAACTTTCAAAGTTGTATGATTGCTACCCGAAAAACTGTCCTGGTCACATTCAATTAAAACAAAATTATAGAATTTACTGTTATAAATCATTTATGAACATTTAGAAAATTAAGGTTCGTAGTTCTTGAGTTATCTTTGCGACGAACAGACAGACAGACGGACGGACCAACACATGTTCATATATGGATGTAAACGTGATAGCTGTATATAACGGGTACAAACAATGAATATGTTGAGGCTAATAAACCGAAAATTTACTTGTTTCATTTTGGTTTCTTTTTTTTTCATTTAATGGTAACCTTGCGTATGACAAGTTAATTTCTCATATTATCTTTAGGTAGATTAAAGTCTAAGGTGCCAGTTAAATATCAGTTTAAATCTACGATAAAATCTGATGAGCATAATCATAAGCAGGAAACACGATTTTTAAGAATTATTAGAAACTAACTTAATAACATAATATAGAAAGTGATAACCTAAATTATTCTAGTAGAATTTAGAGGGAATTTCGTTTGAAAAATATAAACATAACAATATAGATGTCAATGTTACTTATTAAATCATTAGTAATCAGTTATCTCCAATTACATTTTATTTTAATTGTTATATATTTAGTATTAAGATAAAAAATTAATACTTTCAATACTTATTAATTTTCAACGTAATTAATTGCTATTATAAATAGTGGCAATGAACAATATGTGGAAACAAGTATAAGATGGCAAAATATTATACAATAGTAATCACAGTAAATGAATAAACTCTTTTTAATTGGCATATCGTTCATCGTTAATCGTTCATTATTGAATGTATTAATTTAACGCGTATCGTAATCAATAAAATTCGATATTTTTCATAATCGATTAATTTTTTTAATTATCTAATATTGATCAGCTCTTTATATTTATTATTAAATACCAATTGAATGATCATGATGAATATGGAACATGAAAATTTATTTGTAAAGATTTTTAACATTTCATTTTATGCAATAAAAAAGAAATTTATGAATAATACTAATTAATCATATTAGGTACATTGAATTTTTTATAAGAATTACAATAATCTTATAAAATATTATTTACAGCTACATAAATTCACATTTAATTGTGTATGATATAGGAAAAAGCTGTCATTTCGTTGGAAAAATCTTTGGTAATCACCATACACGACGCTTTTGCCAGTTAGTTTAATAGAATCATGAATTATTCAGCCGGGAATCCTTTGTTTGCAATTAATATAATCTATTACTATATTAAATAATCTATTACTCTTTCTAGATTCCTGAATGAAAATCAATTTCGCTTGCACCTGGAATCTAATTCATACTTTGAGTAATTATAGTTAATCATAGTACAATAAACTTTTGTTGCAAAACTTCTTGTGATGACTGCTGTAAAAGTATGAAAAAGGTTTTTCAAATTAAAAATTCACATAGCTTTTAAAGCTTTTAAAAATAAAAGGTATATGATCAAAGATCATGTTCCTATAAATGCAGGTTCGTCTTTCAAATAAACATTCTTTTCAATGATGTTAGAATGGAATTTAATTTGATTTAAATGGAATTTAATTTGTTTTGAAAAAAAAAGCCAGTTGAACAGTTATTTTTATACGTCATTTTTTAAAAAAGTAAAATTCTATTTTATTCTAATACAAGAATTGATTTGCTTACCTGTTTGTAAAAGCAAAATTTCCTTTTTTTTAAAGAATTTTTTTGTTATTCTTTTAATAATAAAATTCTTAATAAACTACATTATTATTATGAAATTTAAAAGTCTGTTTCAAGTGATAAAAATGTTTATTTTATTTGCAAATTTATTACTAAAGCAATGCATTAACGCAAGGATAAGCTCGATGTGCAATTCGCACGTGCCCGCTGTATTTATATAGTGATAAATCTATATTAAATATTAACCATTGCATAATCTTTATAAACGTTTAAAGCGAGAGTAGGTAGTAGGTTAAAGTAATGATACAATTTAGACCATAAACATACACACACACACACATAAAGCAATTATATTCATAATTGAACATAAAGAGGTTTTTTTATCATAATTGTAAGTTACATTCTTTAAAAGGAAAACCATAAACTGATATTTTATTTTAGCTTCAACATTGAAGTAACATTTTTAGCATTGCAAAAAAAATTTATTTATTGACCTGGTTTGCCTATTTATTTTGTTTCTTTTCTTTTCTAAAATTACAAGTGTAATAGTGGTTTTAAGAAATATTTTTTATAATATAAATAGGTGTAATAAAATGTGGTTGTTATATTTGGAAGATTGATAAATAACTTAAATTTTTGCTTCATTTATTTGGTGGATCATTGTTTTACTAAAATAATGGGTGATTTTCAAAAAATGAGCAAACATTTTTTTTAACTAATTTGAAATCTTTTTAATTGTTTTGTTTTTCTTATTGTTGTCATATGATTAATTACAAATTATGTTATGCCATATTTCGAATAAACTTAATTCTATGTGACAATGTTAATATATACATATATATTGTCTAAATTGTAAACTCTTCTTTAACTTGAGGAACTTTGATTTGACATAAATTAGAAAGGAGAAAACTTAGGAGAAACTTAAAATAATTTTAAATTTAAGGTTACAATCATTTTTTGTGTTACCGAATATTCAGTGGTATTATTCGGAATTGAAATATGTTATGTGTACACTATTATTTTGATATACGAATGAATCAAATTATCAGTATGTGTATATACATACATGCATATGTATATATTTTAATTATAGATAAAAATATATACAAGGGAGATAAAAATATTAATTGAGAATTATAGGTATTTCTAGGTGGAAAGTTTTAAAATAAAAATTATAATTTTAAGATAAAATATTAAATTTCAATAAAAAAAAAAATAGATTCAATACGAAAAAAATGTTGTGGTTTTGTGACATACATAAATAATAAGCAGTGCTTAATATATGTATATACCCATATCCTCCCTAAGTTAAAAAGAAGAAATATATGTAACTACCAATATTGAAATAGGCAGATTACGAATTATGTCAAATATAATTGTACATGGCGAAATTTGAAATTCACCAAATTTGATTTCAATGGAGAAAATTCTTCTTTTAAAGTTCTTATATTTAACGTGAGCGATATACAAAAAAATCAAATTTTTTTCAAAAAACATTTCTTTATAAATTTAAAAAATTTTTATAATTTTTATCGAAATTTTAAAATAAAGCTTATAAATAAAGATTTTACGAACCCAGTAATTACATCAACTAGTTGTATACAAATTTTAGCAAACTTTAGTCTAGAGTCCTTCAACTTCTTCCGAAAATTACTTGAAATCTTTATTTGTTTTAATACTTAATTTTTAAATTTGGACTTAAGAAGCTTTGACTTATTGACGACTTATTGAAAATACAATCCTGACATTCGTATTGCAAAAATGGTGTAAACTTTTTAAAGCGTCACCGCGTTCCATATCGGATACGAAAAAATATTCGAATTCAATAGTCAAATAACGTGATATAAATGTTCAAAAAAAGAACTCAATGCTTTTTGTAAATTTTCAGAGTTCAATTTTAAAACTCCTTCTCTTTGATATTTTTTGTTATTTGCCGCAAATTGTAAATTTGTTAAATTGTAATAAATATTGTAGTAATCGCCAAACGTAAAAACCATATACAAAATATGTCAAAACGTTTGGGTTTAGCGTTTTAAATTTTAAAATCGCTCCATAAAATAAAAGATATAAATTGTTGAATTTGCAGTTCTAGTGTAGGTATAAAATATGTAAAATATTTGTATGAAATAAGTATGCTGAATATTTGAAACAAAAATAATTCTTCTAGGCGGCTTTTGAAAACATATTAAATAAAACTAGAATACTCAAAAATTCAATAAAAATATTTCAATTGAATGATTCAAAATATAAAACATTGGGAATCTTTTTGTAAACTTTTTTACTTCGGAGTACTTGGGATAAAAATTTCAGCTTTGTGGCCTTATAGATTTATTATGGTATTGATTTAAATATCATAATATTAAATGCAATTTAATTTATATACTATAACCGTTTCTAAAAACACAATCTGATACTTATAGGTTACATAACATGTCATTAAATATTTACTTATTTATTACATAATAATATTATTGATGAGTATTAAATTTTATATTGAAACATTTGAATACATACATACATATATAACATAAGTGTAAAAAGCACACAGGTTATTAAAGGTAACATAGATAAAATTATGATTTATGTTTTTTGCGTAAATATAACAAGAACCGCATAATTTTGTAATTTTAATACGTAAATAATTTTTTTTAACTGACTAATATTTATTGAACTGATGTGCATTCATTATACTTATATTGTACGTGTATTGTACTTACAGTATTATGCCTCTATATATACATATAAATATATTTTTACACTTTTTTTTATATGTACATAATATTATAACATTTTATTTTTCAATTGCAAGAATTTTTTTTTAATTGATAGTCGCAGTTGACTTCATAATGTCGAATTCAGTTCAATTAAATATATTATTTGTTAATTTCCAATTAATATTTAAATACACAGAAAAAATATTAATACTATAATTGCTAGATTTATTATTATTAATAATTATTCATTTATGAAATTTGTTAAAGATATGTTTATAAAGATACAATTATATTACAAAAATAAATTTGAAAAACGTATGTTTATTGTATTGAAATTCCGCGTTAATCACAAATAATAGCCCGTCGTAATTAAGATAAAATAATTGCATATTCCGTTTGCGTTACTTTTTGATTACTTCCCTTTTTTTATTTGATTTTAATTATACAAAAAAAAGGTAAGAAATGCGTTTCACGCGACTTTACTGATTCGTCAACGAATAACAAATGATGAATAACTGCATTATCAAAATTTGAATTTCTCAATAAAACTAAAATTTTTGGTGGTTAATCTTCGGTTTTTGTTTTTGTGTGTTTCTTTCACTTTGACGGCATGATTGTTTTTTCATTATGACTATTTTAATTTTTTTTTAGTAATACACAAATTCATACATATGTACACATATATATCATCATTTTAAAACACGTACGTATATACTATGTGTCACATCCTTAGTACAACAGCGTCATAAGTATCAAAATAGTTAAATTTAGGTTCGGGTATATCAGTGGAAACGGGAATTAATTCTCTTTATTTTGATTTAGCCCGGGTGTCAATTTTCAAAAATTATTTTTTTGTACTCTTGGAGGGTTGTTTTTAAGCACGCCATATAACGGTAAGGACTCGAACACACATGCAATTATTAATTTTGAAAAATTATTTATTCCTAGTTTAAATGAATTTTTGAACACACAACTGACAATATGTGTTATGATGTATGTGAATTTACAAGCAAGTAGTAACTGTGAAACTTAAAATTGCATGTGTGCTGTATGCTTTACTGTTTTCTTAATTATAAAACTGAAATATTTGACTTTGTATCTTTTGATATACTTAACATATTTTGCTATACTGAGCCAAAGAAAAGTGTTTCTATTCATATTAAAATACGGTATTAACATTTTTAAAAGAAAATCTCATTACTCATAGCTCATATTCATTGTTAAAACTATAAATATTGTGGTATTGCTTTAGGGGTACGAATATAATCATGTAGGAAGGTAAACTCTTTAATTTAGCTGTTTTATTATTATTACTATTAGCTATGTATTTTGATTTTTGGATTTACTAATTTTTATATTATTTTTGAGTTAAATTTTGGATTTAGATAAAATATCAAAAAAAATCATTGATGGTGAAATGCTGAGATTTGGAGTTTGAAAAAAAAAAACATCCATTCATATGCATATACCATCTCAATGTATAATATATATTATACTTGCATGCCACTATAATATTATGTTAGATCTTATGATATGGTTTTTTTTTGTTTGTGGGCACAAAAAATTTTCTGAATTAAAAAAATTTAAAAGTTCGATCATAAAAATAAGCTTTCGTTCCGAAATAATGTGTTGAGAAAATAATATGGGAAAATATCGATGTAAATAAGTAATTAATCGCATAGCAGCATATTAAAAAAAACTAAATATTTAAAAATTTGATTTGGAGCACATGACATTGACATTTTATTAATTTTTTGTTAAATTTTATAATTTAATTATTTTATATAATGATTTAATTATTTTACTTCAGTTTACAATTTAATACGTTATAGTTAGGAAGCGCAAAAGAAAGAAATCGTACCGAATCGTACAGAAATCGTACAGAAGCGCCCATCGTAATTAATAATAATGCAAGTTCTTAAAATGAGATATAAAGAGTGGTTTACGGTTTTGTTTTTGAAAAACAAGAAAAAAAAAACAAAAATTAGTTATGTACATATGTGTTTTTTTTTGAAATTTTTATATCAATCGATAAATTTTATATGTACATAATTACAAATTCCTGAAAATGCCTTTTTAGGTAGAATATCAGCCTATAATTTTAAAAGTTTAACATTATTTTCCATAGTTGCAATCAGTTTCGGATATACGATTAAACGAAATTTTTTTTATCTGTAAGTAAAGCAATTTAAGATATATTGAATTTTATGTCATCCCTGGAATGCTTGTTCATTTAGTTAAACCTGAACTATTCGCTTATTTTTATGTACTTATTAATTATAAGTATATGTTTCTATTAATTGAATTTTTGTTTTGTTGTTACCTAGATTTTACGAACAATGAATTAAGGCGTGACTTATGTTAATAAACAAATTAGAAAAGTAATTAAAAGCGAATGGTTGACTTTTTTGTGGTATCGTTTTGTAAATCTTAAAAGGTTGCAAGTCTAAAAGATACACATGTATGTTTGCACATCTTATCCAAAATTGATAATATTTTATCGTAATATTATAAAACAGTATGTATTAATTTAAATAAATATGTATGTAAATATTTGGAAATTATTGAAAATAGATCTACATAATTACACTTTCCAGTTGCGTAATTAATTATGCATGAATTCATTAAATTCGTTGTTTTCATATTCATCACCATTGCATGGTGATATCACACTTTAAATATAATACTAAGTAGGTATAATAATACCTACTTTGTTTTTAGGATTTTGATTTATTTGTGACATTACAGACTTTGTCGGTTATTTATTTCCAATAACTTTCAATATGTATACATATTCGAGGATAAATCTTTTTTGGGATATTTAAAATATTTAAAATATGCATAAATTTATTTTTAGCACTTTTCCAAAAAAATTTTAAGAAAAGCGCTTATTAGTTTCACTCTATCCGTCAGTCGGTGGACCATAGATATTTACTAGAAACTTATTTCCGTGGAAGAAAATTTTTATCTATCTCTCCCTTCCTAAAATGACAACTCCTTAAAATCCTAATTATGCCACTTTTGATCTATTTACTGTACTGAAACTTTAAGCGTTTTTGAAACTTCGTAAACGAATAAAATTAGAGGCTGGCTTCTTCTACTCTGGCATAGCATATTTGAACTAAAAAAAAAAAAAACAAAATGCTGGTTAACAGTTATCGTTATTTACAATCCAAATTTTTGATGTCGTTTTTATACCCGTACGAACGTATGTTCGAAGGGTATACTAAATTTGCCTTACCGTTTGTAACGCTAAGAAATAACGGTGTTAGATATAGACTCAAGTGTATGTTTTTGATCAGCGTCAAATTCTGAGTTGATTTAGCTTTGTCTGTCCGTCCGTCCGTCCGTCCGAACGATAACTCAAAAACTAATTGAGCTAAGTTCACCAAATTTTCACAAATGATTTATTGTAGTAAGTGCCAGAACCCTATTTAAATTGGACATGATCGGGGTACCGGTTCGGGTAGCTGCCATACAACTTCAAAATTTATTTGGCTATATGTCAGAAACTATAAAAGTTATGGTATTGAAATTTCACACAAACGAATATATTAGTAGGGCCATTATGCCCCATAAAAGTCGTTGAAATTACTTGGCTCCTTCTGGTACCTGCCATACAACTTCAAAAGTTATTTAACTATATCTCAGAAACTATAAAAGCTGTGATATTGAGATTTCACACAAGTGAATATATTAGTAGGGCCGATGTGTCTGGTAAAAGTCGTTGAAATTACTTGGCTCCTTCTGGTACCTGCCATACAACTTCAAAAGTTATTTGACTATATTTCAGAAACTATTAAAGCTATGGTATTGAAATTTCACACAAACGAATATATTAGTAGGGCCAATGTGTCTCATAAAAGTCGTTGAAATTACTTGGCTCCTTCTGGTACCTGCCATACAACTTCAAAAGTTATTTGACTATATCTCAGAAACTATAAAAGCTGTGATATTGAGATTTCACACAAGTGAGTATATTAGTAGGGCCGATGTGCTTGATAAAATTCGGTAAAGTTTCTTGGCTCTTTCTGGTAGCTGCCATACATCATCAATAGTAGTTTGGCACACACAGTATTTTGTATAACACATTGTACTGAAATTTTGCGTAAATTAATATGGTAATACGGCAACTTAAGGTATGGGACATAGTCTGTCCCATAGTCAGTTATGGCATCTTTATTCGCACATAGGATAACAAATTCGTACGGGTATCACAGAGTTGACAAGGTCAACTCTATTTTTTTCTCGTTTTCTTCTAGAACCCAGGTTGTGAAAGTCTGAAATTTAAACAGCTTTTAGACAATATTAAATAGTTCATTTCGTTAGAAGAAAATTTTTTCCTCCTCTATTCCCTCTCGAGTTATCGCCTTCCGAATTTTGAAAAATTTGAATTTTTGGCCCCTTATATTTCTGAAACTGCAAGCTTTTCCAAATTTCTATAAATGCAGAAAGCTAACGGTAAATCCATTCCATTAAAACGAGGTTATAAAACGTCATGTTTTTACATACAAACATATATGTATCTTTGTAAAAAAAATAGGAATTTTTATAAATTTTGAAATGATGCCTCACTAATATGTAATTGTTGAATCTTAAATGGTAAGACAAAATTGGCTAAAATTAGGCTTTAAATTTTTTGTCAGATATTAAATTTGGGCAGCATAAGGTTTTACGTAATATAGAAAATATGCTGAAAATTTGAACAAAATTCAATCAAATCAAAAGTTCTAAATCAGAAAATAAACTTTCAGTATTTTTTAAAAAACACTTCGGAAATTCTAATTGCATTGCTTATTATATTTCAAATACAAAGGTTGTACAGAAGTCAATAATCTCTTTTTAATAAATTAAACTTAAATCTTCAAAAATTAAAAGTTGCTAAAAAAGTGCAGCAGTAAGAATTACTTGTGTTTTTTTGTTTTGTCAACTTCGGGCAATGAATATTATGCGCAAACAAGTGTAATCGTCATTTTCCATTACTACTATGTCGACAAAATATATGAGAACTTATACATATGTAAGTATCATATACCCATCGGTTACTCCAGAATTTTACAAGTCATTCAAGTATTTTG